CCTCTGTGCCAAGGACTGAGAGAAGCACTAAACATATAAAAATAAATATGATACTAGAGTCTGTGACTTCAAGGAGTCACAAATGAGTGACTGATTCATACTGCTTGTTATTGCATGATGGGAATATTTGGGTTGAGTCTTTCAAGGCTAAGTAACAGTTTACCCCAAGATAGAGAGGCAAAGAGATATAGTGATCCTTCAGATTAACTTCGTACCCAGAATACATAAAGTAGAATATATAAAAAGTAGATTATCTGTTTAAGTATTTTATAAGCTAAACAGATATCTTACTTCTCTTGTAAGTATATTTATCTGTTTAAGTATGGATTACAAGCATAATTTAGCAGTTTCCTGAGAAGATGTGAATCCTGGAAGACAGTAATCATGTATTTTTACTCACCCACTCTTTATTTCTTGTCTTCCCGATAGGCATGTATTCTATTCTCCTCCTACACCCAAACTTTCCTTCATGCCTTAAAAAGATGACATTCATTGAAAGAGAGGCACATTTTGTACAAATTAATTTTAATAAAATTCTGGCTTAGAACAATCATGTTGTTTGAAAAAAAAACTCAGAAGTATTCTATACGCCAAAGGCATGACTAACTATGTAGTCAGATACACAGTTGTGCATTCATTCATTTTGTACTTAAGAAGTGCACATTGACATTATTTGAATGGTGAGTAGTTTGTATTTTACCTCTTTTCTATTGACATTGTTAAATATTGCTATGATTTTGAAATTAGTTCTCTTCCTATTCTTAAAACGTTTCTTGGACTTAACTGTAACCTTTAAAAAACACTATGTTCAATCAGATATTCAAAGAGGAGTGTCAAGCCCTTTGGAAGATACTCTATTTCTGATGAAACACACTCAGGAATTCAGTCTGTTCTACAAAATAACTAACTTTCAACCCAGTGGATTCCTCCTTCTATGTATCAAATATATTTTAATGAGGGGAAAGTTGGTAAAGCGCTTCCCAAAAGCATGTGGTATATATAATTGGAGCATGTATCTGGCAGATAAATTGCCTTCACTCTTACTTGGGAAATGAAAAAATCAGACTGTTAAATGGCCAGGAGCCACATACTGAGTGCGTACTGACCACCTACCTAGGACAAGATGGCACTTTAGGATAGATGAAGCGAACATAGTTTCCTTACTTAAGGAATCACCCAGCTAGTGGAAGAGTAGAAGAAAGCTAATGGTTATATGAAGGAGGCATCAGAAATGAAGCACAGAGGGACTCCAGAGAAGAGAGAGATGGCATTCAGGTGTGGAGCCAAATGGAATGTGTGAGATGGTTCTTGAAGAAAAGGTGGGATTTTAATAAACAAGGGACTTTGTCTTGTTCGCACATGATGGTATCCTTGAGAATGTCCATTGTGGCACCCTGCAGGGTGCAAGGGCAGAAGCAAGGACACCAGCAAGGAAGTTATTCCAATTACCTAGGCAGAATCTGACAGGGGCGTGGATCTGTGGGCTGGAGGAAAAGGGAGAAGTGGTTGGATTCTGGATATATTTGGAAAGTAGGTAGGGCTGTAGGATTTGTTGATGGATTGAAAGTAAGATGTGAGACAAAGGGAGGAGTTAAGATGTGGGGCTCAACCAACTGAAAGAACAGAGTTGCCATAGTGGAGATGGGAAGAAGAGAGTTTGCTTCTGGATGTGTTCAATGTGGCGTGCCCATTGGGCATCTAAGTGGAGAAGGTGGTTGTCCATCCAAGCCTGGAGCTCAGAGCACAAGTTCTGGTTGGAGAATCAAAACTTGGAGTCATTAGGATCTAGAGTATTCAAAGAGTTCACCTGGAGTCAATCTAGAGAAGAGGACCCCCAAAGGAGCCCTGGGCCCTCCAATATCTAGAGGTGAGGTATGGAGGACACAGGAATCACCAGTGAGCTGAGAGGGGAAGCAAGAGAGCCATGCTGAGGAAGTGTGTCAAGAAAAGAGAATAGTGTCTAGACCTATGCTGCAGACAGATCTGCTAAGCCAGGAGCCTTGATTTTAATGCATAGCCTGCTCAATGCCAACCTTGTCTGTAATGGACACCATCAGTGTCCAAAGTATTCTCTCCTCATCCCACCTCAAATGAAAGATGGTGTCTTTTTCCACAGGTTCTCAGTACAAACATTTGCTAGACTCCCGCTTGGGAGGCCACATGTATCTTCAACTGAGTCCTGGTCCTCTCAGAAACCAATGGGCAGAACAAAAACTCAGAGGCACTGCTGGGGCTGGAGTCCCAACTATAGGCCTCAGTGTGAGTATTTTGGGGGACATCAAGAACCATCTTCAAAGCTGTGAAGGCATAGCAGTCTCTCTTCAAGACACAGAGGAAACCTGTGTCCTTTTTCTGGGTTTTGCTCAGATGAGCAAAACAACCTGGGCTCCTAGAGCTCTGTGGGGAAACCCTTCTTTTAGTTCTGTTTCTCCTTCTGTCTCTATCCCTCTTTATCTCTTTTACATACACACACACACACACACACACACACACACACACACACACACACACACTTGGACTGCTTTTCAAGGTTTACCTCAGAACCAGGACCCCAAAAGAACTGGGAGACCTCCAATTAGAGCAGAGCCCACTGCCACCATTATTCATTCTGCAGTTTGTTTGGCCTGCCTCCTGCTGTCCAGGCCGTCAGACACTGATTATTGAATGGGGGGATGTAACAGGGGGAGGAAGCTTGGTTCAAATTCTCAGTCTCCTTAGGGGGTCTCCTTAGTCCACCTGTAAATTAGTGGCACAGAATAGGGCAGGGAAGAGGTGCTGGCTAGCTTCATCCTTCACCAGCATCAGATCTTCAAATGCAAAAATAAATAAATACAAATATACATATTCATATTTATGTAAATTCATATTTATATAAATATTTTTATATAATTATATATTAAGGGGCTTAGTGGCCTTGACAGCAATATCTAAGCCCTGGCTGAAATGTTCTATTACCAAAGTCTGCAGCATATGTTTTATCTTTTCAAATAAGATAAAAACTTCCCTACCTCCCTCTCCCTAACACATCCACCAAGAAAGAGCCTTGAAAACAGAATGAAAATATCTCATATGAAAAACTTAAGATACTGTCCTTGATGATGACGAGTTCCCTCTTCATAGCATACAAGAATGATTGAATTCCAAACCAAAGAAATTTGACAGCGAAATTAATATTTTACAGCAACTAGCATTTTGTTTGCAGCATTGGCAAAACCAAGGGGCCACCTGTTACTAATTTCTTATGGATGCAAAGTCCACCGTGCTTCTGGGAAGGATGGTTAGTGTTTGTCAAGTTTTTTGTGTGAAGATACAAAAATATAACTGAAAATCTCATCAGAGGGCCAAAAGTGGGAACAAGAGTCAAAAGCATGTTGACTATTTCAAATATCAGAGTACCAGAAAGCTCCTACAGTCCCAATTCCTGATCTTATAAATGCAATGCTCATGTAAGTCACTATAATAAAAATTAATGACTTTTATATACACACAGAGTTTATCACACACTCTAAAAACAGAACTTGTGTGATTTAAATCTTAAAGAGTGATTTTGCAGGAATGTTTTATTAGGTCCTCCAGCTGGCCCACAAATCTCTTATTTGTTTCTGGTAAGCACTAAAATTTGCTTATGATTTCTTCAGAAGAGGGGCCGGTTCTTCCCATAACTTTTCTATCACCAACCATGAACAGGTGATGTTTAAGGTTTTTGAGCCCTTAAAAAAAATGACATACTGAAAAAGATTCCCACTATGGCTCTAAGGTATCTTAATGAAAAATATATACCCCTCTGAAATCAGCATTTTCTGGCCCAACAAAGCCAGCATTCTTCTCTGATCTGTGGTAGCAAACAGGAGCTGACATACAGCCTAATTTAGCCATTATCACAACACTAGGGGCGGCTCAAGCACTGAGTCACCTCAATAACCCGGTGCTGTTCTGCCTGATTATCTATGGCTTCCATTAAAAGTGTATAGAAGTGGTTTTCATCTTGAATTTGCTCAAAATATGTGGCCTAATTCTCAATTTCAACTACGTCTTCAGTAGGCTCACAACCAGAAGTTCGACATTTCAACACTTTTATGAAAATGTTTGCACATAAAAAATGCTTTCTCTCATGATATGAAACTCTGTACAAAATGTACCAACAACTGACATCATTATAAAGGAAACTTCAAATCCATGGGACCCAATCTTGAGCACTAAGTGAAGGAGAAACAGGAGGAATTATGATTTGAGAGACGCCTTTATTGCGGCATATCAATAATCCAGCTATCAAAAGGTATTAAGCCTTTGCACAAGGGTATCAGAATCAATTGTGTCAGGGTAATAATCTCATCCCCAAGGAATCCCTGGAACCGGAGAAAGGATCATGGAAATACAGGTGTAGGACACAATCTATAGCATTCTGTAGCTGACTCTGTATTTTTATGGTTGGCTCTGTTTAAGATTGTATAAGGGGTCTTCACACCCCTGATGGTTAGTATGGTTGATGGATGCCGTTCTACCCGCCACAGAAAGAACTTCCAAAGAGTTGAAGGCTGGCTCACCAGGAGATGTGATTTTGACACCTTCCCGTTTGCTGCAGTGTGTACATGGGCCACACACACGGGACAGATCTTATTGGATTCACACTGAACTCATGACATCTCCACAGACTGCAGCAGAGAGTAATGCTATCTGCAAGGCTCCCTAACAAGCCTGTTTCTTTCAGCCACCCTCCTCACTCTCCGGGTAGGTGCTATGAGGAAAGCGTCCCCTCCTTACCTTTAGGGATTCCTCTGCCCCCCAGAGAAAGGAGCTCCCCTTTCTCTCTCCCCATTCCCAACTGCTTGGCTTCCCAGGGAAGCCCCAGATACTCAGCTCACCCCCGGAATGCGAATCCTAGGAGACCTCCTCAATGAGTTCAAAGGGCTCTAGGCTGGAAGCTCAGGACGCCCACTCGCCCCTGGCGTCTCCAGAGGCCGTCTCCCCGCATAGCCCTCTGGCTGGCCCCTCGAACTCACCAGGAGGAGGTTGTGCGCCACCAGGTACCCAAGCCGCGGGCTGCCCCGGACGCCAGGGGCCAGGCGCCCGGTGGCATAGCCGTGCCAGGCCACCACGTAGGGGTTGTCGATGGTGATCCAGTACTTGACCTGGCCGCCGAAGTGGCGGAAGCAGAGCTCGGCGTAATCCCTGAAGTGGTCGGCCAGGGCGCGGTTGGCCCAGCCGCCGTAAGCGTCCTGCAGGCGCTGGGGCAGGTCCCAGTGGTACAGGGTGACCACAGGCTGCACGCCCAGCTCCCGCAGCCGCTCTAGCAGGCGCCGATAGTAGCGCAGCCCCTCGCGGTTGGGGGCGCCCGCGCTGCCATTGGGGAGCACCCGCGCCCACGAGATGGAGAATCGGTAGTGGGTGACCCCGAGCTCACGCAGCCCCTCGGTGTCGCGGAAGACGTTGTTGTAGCCGTCGCTGGCCACGTCCCCGGTAGCGGGCGGGGACGGAGGCCGGGCGCCCGACGGCAGGCCGGCTACCGGGGGGTCTCCCGCGGGGGCCGGGGGCTGGTGGGTGAACGTGTCCCAGATGGATGCGCCCTTGCCGTGCTGCCGCCAGCCGCCCTCTGTCTGGTAGGCGGCGCTGCCCACGGCCCAGCGGAAGCCGTCGGGGAAGGTGTCGTGGAGGAGGCCGGCAGCCTCGGGGGCTGGAGGCTGCGCGAAGCGGGCCCAGGTCTGCGCCCCGTCGCCCGGGTCGGCGTACAGGCGGCAGCCTCCCAGGGCCAACAGCAGCAGCAGCAGCGGCAGCAACGGTGGCGGCGGCGGCCGCAGGCGGCGCGGTGGGGCGCGGGCGGGCATGCTGCGAGGGAGCAGGGCGCTGGGGCGCCGCACCGCACCCCCTTTATGCGCGCGCCCCGCCGCGCCGCCCGCCCCCGCCGGCGCGCCCACCCCCGCTTCCCCTCAGGCCCCGCTGGCAATAATTACCTGCGAGGCGGCGCCTCCCCCAGCCCTGGAGTGGGGGTGGGCGGGGGCGCAAAGGGCTAGCGAGTGCCGGCGAAGGGGCGCGGCAAGCCCGCAAGGTGCAGCGGGCGCCACTCTCTGACGTCGGAGAAGAGGCACCTGTTCCTCGCTGCTCCCCGGAGGCGCGGTGGATGTCAGGGGACCCACGTTCTGTCCGCGCCGCCTTCTCGTTCCCCTCCGCACGCACCCCTGGGAGAAGCCATCGAGCCGGTGTTCCTCGAGGAGGGAAGGCGGCCCACCAACTTTCCCCGAGTTTGCGCGGGTTCTTTTCGGGCTCTCTCGGAGTCCGCCAGCGGAGAAGCACCTGCTTTCTCCTTGCTCCCGCTGGGAGGCCGAAAACAGTTTCAGACTCACATTGCTAGAACCGATTAGGAATTGGCTGAAATCTTACGGCGAGGGCAAGGTAGGGAAAGCCAGGTGGGAACTTCGAATGCTGTGAGAGAACGACTCGTGGCAGACTTTCCCTTAGAGTTTTTAGGTAAGATGCTCTCCTGGAGAGCCGCCCCAGTAGCGCAGGGATGGATGGTCACTCCCCAGGCCCCAGTCTAGAAACCCCTCAGGGAAGACAAAGGAGATGCTTGGGTCACCTTGACACTTTGCTTTACTGTCCCTCATAGAGTTACCTTTTAACCATTTCAAGCCAGTACTTGTTATTAAGTTAGATCCTGCAGAATTACTTGGAAGAATAATTCTTCCCAGAGGATGGAAGGTGGCGCCCAGAGGAAGGAGAAAGTGGCCTGTTCGTGTCATGACAGTTCTGATCGTTCTTATTAAAAAGGGGGGAAAAAAAAGAAACAAAAAACAAAGTACCAAGGTTTCGACTCTGAATAACTGTTGTTCACTTTTTTTCATCCTTTTGCATCTGTTTTATGAATAATCATGTGGTAGCTTTCAGCTCTGAACTTAGCAAGCAACTTCTCTGTGGCAAGTTGTGCCCACAGCTGTGCTGGAGGCGGACGTCCCTGGGTCCCACAAATGCCACTTGAGCCTGGAAGGGAAAGGGCTGGAGGAGTTTAACCAAGCAGCCACTCGCACCCACTACAACGAAAGGTTTTTCCAGTTGCCAGGGAACCTTTTGAGAGAAGCTGTGGAGGCACGATCTCCATTTGAAGGTGTATATAGACGGTCTATGAGTAACTGATGTCCATTTGGGGGCAGGGGGCGTGGGCAGCCTGGACCTCACCTTTGTAATCCTGGGTGGAACAGCCTTTTCTCCAAGCCTTAGGAAACTCATCTGTAAAATACAGGTTTTGGGGCGCCTGGGTGGCTTAGTCCTTAGATGTCTGCCTTTGGCTCTGTTCATGATCCCAGGGTCCTGGGATAGAGCTCAACATGGGGTTCCCTGTCTAGCAGGAAGCCTCCTTCTCCCTCTCCCACTACCTCTTCTTGTGTTCCTTCTTTTGCTTTCTCTTAAAATATATATATATATATATGTATATATATATATACATATATATATATATATAATAAAAAGTAAAAGCAAAATGCACATCTGCCCTGTCTCCTTAGAGGGCTGTGAAATGCAAATGTGAAAATGTATACACAGATGACTCAGTCATGGAAAACACAGACAAACGTAAGATCCTGCTAATATTCTTCCCTCCCTCTCCAGTCCTTACTCTGGGCACATCTGCACCTGTGCTCAATGACTAAGATCTTCACTGAGGTACATCCATTCTTGTCAAATGATCATTCTTGTGCTGTTTCTTACAAATGTAAAAGCAAGAAAGTTGTAAGTGTTGCCGACGCAGATGCTTTTATTAATTTCCTTTAAATGTAAGCACAACAAATTTAATCCAGTGGCTTATTAAATGGTCCCAACTCCAGCTAGCATATATCATCATGATTAGTAAGATTAAGCCATCAGACTGGCACAAGACCTATCATGAGCATTTACATTTTTAATAAATGTGAAATAACAAACAGTGACACCTCGACAATTAAAAATATTATGCCACATAATGACACAGGCACATTCACTTCCAGTTAAATGAAAAAGCTATGTCTGCCTGTGGGATCACATTTCCCTTCTGCAGCCCACGACTAGAGCATTTGCTGCATTGTAGCTTGTTAAGTTTCAATTAGAAATGCTTCATGGGGCTCATGGAAAATAGCTTAGACTTAAGCGTTGGCTTATTGATGTATGGTCTGTTTGCTCAGGGCAGATTGTATCTACTGCAACTTTTATTTAACCAACAGTTAAAAAATGAGAGAGGGTTTTTATTTTATTTTATTTTTTGTTTTGTTTTGTTTTGTTTTTTGCAGTGGTAACTAAAAAGAAAAGACCTACTTGATTAAATGCTCACATTTGAAGTTCATCTCTCCTAAGGTGGACATCAGAACTTCAGCATTCGCAGAGATATTCCCAGATGATAGTTTATCAAAGAAGGAGATTCATGATAAAGTTCTGGAACTTGCTGTTTTTTCAAGATTCTGCTCGTGGTTATTAAATTCTGGATTCCTGAACTGTGAATATGTGCAGGTGCTTTTCCTCATTTGTTCAGTTTTATTTGGGTTCTCGTGTCTCACGACCACCTTCAAATTCTAAAATGTGGGTTTTGTTCAATGCTTTGTTCTCCGGCAAATAAGAGATTAATTCCTTGCTGAGCTTTGAATGTGAAGGTGGAGTTATTGGTGCATGAAAGGAAGGGAAATTTTAAAATTTACTTACTGACTTCTGCCATGGTGATGATTTTCAACAACCTAGATAAAGGTGGTCTTCAAGCTACCCATCATCATCCCCATTCCTTCTCCAGTACCTTCTCATCAGAGCTTCTCCTGTGGGCTTGGGGGACCACTGGAGCCCTCCCTGGCCAAGGGAACAGAAGGAAGTCCATTGACTGACAGGGGCCCAAATACAACACCAACCTCACAAGCTCTCAGCTCACCAGCCATGACATTCAGCCTCTATGGGGAGGTACTGATAGCCTCAGCAACAACCTCTCTGAGCAGCACCCATGGGCAAAGCAATTGTGAGGAACTTAAGACTTCACATCACAGGGGACACTACCTGCCTTCACAGGCAACACTGGACTGGAGAAAAAAGGTAAAGAATGTTGATAACAAATACATTGTTGAGCATTCACAAGTGACCCACATGATGGATGTTATAGGAATTCAGAGGAAAGAGAAGTTAACCTATTTTGAGTTGGATGGAAAAGTTTCACAAAGAAATGGGACAATATCTGGGGTTTAAAGAGTAAAATTGGCAAGGACATCTGGAGGCAAAGATCACAGAGAAGCAAAACCTGGAAGAAAAAAGTGTTCACCATATATTTGTATTAAAACACCTACTTATGCAGGGCAATAGTGGACTGGAAAGGCAGTTATGGATTGGAGATTTGGGCCAGAAATTTTGATGCCAAGGGATGGGGGATAAAATGAGGGTATTAAAAAAGAGACAACTAAAAGCCACGGCTGGGGTGCTGGTATGGGTCTCCATCTGGGGGGATAAGGGGTGGCGTAAGAAAGGGGATAAAAAGGAAACAAGACCCACAGGGGAGTGCCTCAAGTCACAGGATCATGAGTTTTTCAAGCTAAGGAAAGGACTTCAAAAAGGAGAGGTGATCAAACTTGTTGAGAAAAGACAACCGATCTAGAAATGAGATCATTTGCTGACTTTGAAGATACATTTTTATTTAAGTTGTAAAGAGAGCTCAAGCCAGGTTTTGGTATGAGACATCAGTGAAAGTGTGTGGGACCTGAGGAGATCGAGGCCCTCAGTACAGACTCATCTGAGACATTGGCCTGGGGAAGGAATGAGAGAAGATGGTCACTTGAGGGGTTTGCATGGTAGAGAGAAATTTTCAAGGTGAGGAATTCTGCACTCTGCACCTGTTTGTGCACAGAGGAGGAAAGGTCAAGGACATGAGAATCGGGAGTCCAGAGTTCATCTTTTTGAGGAAGTAAAATACTGTACAGCAGCAGCTGTGATCTCAAGTAGATGGCTGGAGACTTTTGAGGTCCCTGCATATTAAACAGGGAGACAGTAAAAAGACCAGAAAAACTCCTAGGAGTGTGTAGCTGGAATGCTGAAATGATGGAGAAGACAGCATGAGCAAATGCCTCACAGAAGTGGACCAAAAGCTACTAAGGAAGCAACAAAGGGAGCTCCGTGAAGGCTTCAAAACATCAGGAAGTGGGTTCCTGGGCAGCTGCTGCTCTCCTGAGCCCTGTGGAGCTAACATGGGTGATGGAGGTACTAGCCTGGGCTCTGGCTGCTTCTGCAGACCATGGGAAGTGCGCATGCCCAGATGACTCCATTTCTTCTGAGCAGAGCAGGGAGCCTGAGGGCTTGGAACCTGCACCCCTTCTCCTCCCTACCCCGTCCTTCTAAGTGACACTGCTGCCTCCATAGTCTGGAACTAGTAATACCCCAATTATACCCCAAAAAACATGTCCTGATACAAGGTCATGTCTAGAGGCAGGGAGAGTGGTACCAGGGGCCCAAGGCATCAAGTTGCTGCAATCAAAATGTTTCTACTCCCTTTCTCAAAACTACCATCAGTATGAGAATGAGACATATCTATTTGCAATGAAATTGAGAGAGGTTAGTATATGGGAAGGAAATGAAGATGAAGGACTGGCATGTGAGTTCGCTGAGAGAGATATGTATGAGAAGTGAAATAATTTACCTGGCACTGCTCCAGAATGGTTCAAAGTCTGAGACACTGTGGAAGAAACAGGCAGTTGGGGGCCTGAAGACAGGAATGATGAGATCCCAATTTTCTGGTCTTAGCACAGTCTGGCATTACCCTCTCCCTAGCTCCACGGGGAACTTATTCTCTTTGAAGGAATGGATCCAAAGAAGCTACAGACTTGAGGACAGCACATATGAAAAAGAGC